CTGGTCCTTTGTTCAGTGAGATTTTATAGGTTTTGGGGAGATACTCTATTGTCACAACATCACACAGCAAATCATTCCATACTGCACATTCAATGGCGGGAACAAGTTGGGTAGGGGTGATTGATTGGCTAGTACAAGAAGGGAGTTCATTTGAATTGATTGGTTTAGACCACGAAGGGTGTCCGTGCTAAACTACATGGTTTCCCAACATGTTATCAACCACCATAAACTACTTGAGGGTCATCTGGCATTCCAGGTATTTTCCCTGTCTTACGCTGACTGGAGGTTGCTAGGGGGGTTGCCATGGGACCTCACCTAGCGTAACTGAGACAGGGACACCTAGCGCCTCAGACCTCTCCTGTTATTTACAGACAAACAACTCAGCAGGGTGGGTATGTACTTCGGATTCTCTGTGGGTTTTTCCAAGGATAAGGGTCACGCCCCCTTCCTTAGGATAGGCCTTAAGGTAGAAGCTGCTGTTATTTATTTATTTTTTAAAATGGAGTCACATTCACAATACCTTTATTTCACTTATTTATTTTTATGTGGTGCTGAGGATCGAACCCAGGTCTCGCACGTGTAAGGTGATCACTCTACCGCTGAGCCACCACCCCAGCCCTGAATAATGTATTCATATTTCATAACTGTATGCTGTGCATGACAAAAATATATAACTCTTATTTATTGATTTTAAAATGTTAGTATTCAAAAATTTTAAGTYTGACATTACATTTAGGAATGTTGATTTCTCATCAGTTGTAAGCTGACAGATTGTTTCTGGGGTCATTAGATTCTACATTTATAACACCGAATTGCACCCATCAGGATAAGCCAGGATATGCTTTGGAACAAACCCTAAAATCTAGTGGCTTTAAACAACAAAGATTGCCTAGTGGGGTGGCATATTCCTTTAATGCTGACTACTTCTATTCAGAAGGCTGAGGAAGGAAGATTTTAAGTTTGAGGCCAGCCTTGGCAATTTAGGGAAACTCTATCTCAAGATAAAAAGGCCTGGGGATGTAGCTTAGTTGTAGAGTGCCCCAGAGTTCAACCCCCAGTACAAAAAAAAAAAAAATATACAAATTTTTGTTTTGTTTTTGGTACATATCCATCTGGAGCCACTGGGATTATAGGCGTGCACCAGTGCATCTGCCTATTTTTTTTTTTTGTACTTGAAGGGTTTTTGTTTTTGTTTTTTTCCCCCAGGATGGCGAATATACCATATTGCAGGGAATGGAAGTCTTTATGTACTTGGTATTTTTTAAAGTGTGGTAAAATATATATAACATTAAAATTAGCATTTTAACCATTAAAAAAAATGGAGTCACATTAGTTTCTCAACTGTTCCTTGTATTTCAGCATATTTTCTTATTTAACATGAAGTTAAGTAAAAGTYACTACAAGCAGATGACTTATTTGCTAAATAAAAAGTATTTGTTAGGGAGTGGCTCAGTGGTAAAGCACTGTCTAGAACAATAATTAAAATAATTTTTAAAATAAAATTAACATTTTTTTAAAGCAACTAAAAGGCCTTCTGCCTCATTCTAATGTAGTTTTTCTAGCTGGTAAAACAGATAACCCAATATGATGATTTCTGGACATTAGTTCCAACTCTAAGAATGCTATTAAAAAAACAACCAAATGCATTGAAAACTGAGCCCCAAATTGTTACCATCTCCTAAAGTAATTCATATGGCTGCTTTCCTACCTTCTATAAACCCTACTTCCTATCTTCATAGCCTTACTCTAGTCCTGTGCATGTAATACACATAAATTAAATTTAATTAATAATATTCAATTCTAACACAAAAAGAGCTAAAAAATTGTATTTAAACATTTATAATAACTATTCATCTAGCTAACTATGTTTGGCTACCTTACCCTACAAAATATCAAGCTCAGAAAAAGGATAATCATTTATGATAAAATTGTTTCTTAAAATTTCTAAAAGAAAATACAGATGAACCTGAACAGCCAATTCAAACACCATTATTTGAAAGCATACCCAAAATCACTCAGTAGCTAAAGGAAAAAAAAAATCTGTAATATATACATCACTATTCTGGTGTGGGCAAGTGATATAACATTATATTATAAATGAGCTTTTAGGCTAGAAAAGAACATTCAAACTCATGCTGTTATGCTCAAATTCGGGACCCCCAAAAGACCACCAGAGACCAAGATTGATGTAAATAGCAAAGAGGTGTTTATTGCGAGCTAGCTCGGTCCTCTGCGAGCACACTCAGCAACTGGTGACGCTGAGAGGCCCCGAGCCCAGGGTTTGCAGCAGTTTTATACATTCTTTGGAGAAGGCAGGGACCCCCCACATACATCATAGCATCTCTTAGCAAATCATCACACACCGTGGGAAAATCATGAAACAACTCTAAAACATGATTAGCACATTCACTGGTGGGAACAAGTTGGGTAGGGGTGATTAGTTACTACAAGAGGGGGATTCGTTTGAACTGACTGGTTTAAGCCAAAAGAGGTGTTCCTGCTGAACTACATGGTTTCCCAACACATTATCAACCACCATAAACTACTGGGAGGGTCATCTGGCATCCCAGGTATTTCCCTGTCTCATGCTGATTGGTGGCTACTAGGGGGTTGCTATGGATCCCCACCTAGCCTGACTGAGTCAGGGACACCTGGCGCAGCAGATCTCTCCTGTTATTTGTAGATAAACAACTTAGCAGGGTGGGAGTGTGCCTAGGAGTGCTCTGTGGGTCTTTCCAAGGACAAAGGTGAAGTCCCTTCCTTGGACAGGCTTTGCTCCGAGGTAGAGGCTGGTTTTTCAATGCCTTTCTCTGTCACCAGAGAGACCACCCAAGAGACTGACTCCATGCAATTGGCAAAAGGGGATATTTATTGGGATCCATTTCAGCGCGCTGGGACTCTGTGCTCACTCAAGAAGGGAGAGCAGCCCAGAGCCCAGAGCAAAGGTCAAGCAGAGCTTAAGTACACTTTTTGGAGAGGGCGGTGGGCTTTGCATACATCAGAACAAATCATCATGAGGCACGGGGAAATTGAACAACAACTCTGAGAYGTGATTGGCACATTCATTGGTGGGAACAGATAGGGCGGGGGTGATTGGTCATTCCTAAGCGGGGTACACATTCAAACTGATTGGTTCGGGCCCTGTGACGAACTGCACAGGGCCCTAGGCTAAATGGCCAGTAGGGCGTGGTCTTAACTATCTCAGGAATCTGGGTGTAACAGAGGAACTCAATAATACCTAATCTTTTACAATTAAGCTTTCCAGCTTAGAAACTTTACCCTTTCAAGATAATTTGAGAATTCAATCTTTATAGTTAACTTCAAACAGGGTTTTACAAACATATCTTAAGCTTTTGATATTTGAAGCACAAAGTCTCTTTTTCTAATTATCTTTAAACAATCATCTTGTATAAAATAGTCTCTAAAAAAAAAGTAAAAAGGAAAAAAAATCACTACTGAAAAAAAAGTAAGGATTATCTCCTTTCCTGTCCACAAGGTAATGACTGGTAGTTCTGATAAGCTATGGATCCCAGAAGTCTAAATTTTAAGTAATTATACCTGACTGGAAGTACACAGGGAAGAAATGTAAATAGTTTAGTAAGTATTAAAACATGGAGTATTACATTCAACTTCAGCTTAAATTAACTCAATACGATAAATGTTTTCTTCAATTAAATGTTAGAAGTATGATCTAGTAGGAAAAAACAAGAGCATTAACATCAGAAGTGGGTTCAAATCAAATATGTTTGTTTATTATTAAATACCTTAGTTTACTGGTAACATTTGCCAAGTTGACTTCTATGAGCCTTGGTCTTTTCATAAAATAAAAGGATAAGTATAATAGGGCCTCTAACAGAAATATTTATATACTAGATAAATAATGTAAATCAAGCATCTGATACAGTAACTTAGAAATCAGTGTACAATCACTATTAGTTTTCTTCCCATCCACCTTCTCCTGAGTGTCAGAACCTCTTCTTCAGTTCATGCCCTTCACTTAGTAGTGTGCTATTTAACATTTAAACCCAGTGGGCAGCTCCAGCTGACTTCTCTGATCTGAATGAATCCCACCATAGATGGTCCCAAGCTACAAGAATGGAGTTACTAAACGCAGCATTGTAAAGATAAGTACAACATTACTCTCTATCCCACTACTATTTTACTTTCTTCACAGCACTTTTACCTTTTGAAAGATTCTCATTTAAGTGGTTAGGTATTTATTATCTGTCTCCCTTGACAAGGATGTAAGTACCATGAAGACAGAGCATGATTCATGCCCTACTATATCCTCTGCAAATACAAAGCCCAAGTAATGGGAAAGTTTTCCAAAATTAAAGAACTAAAAGTGTTTCTTAAAAGGAGGGGAAAAAAAAGGACTAATTCAAACAAAACAACCTCAAATTCAGCTGCACCACTCCTTTTGTTCGGAAAAGAAGGGGAAAAAAATGTGATTAGTAACTACCAAATGCTTAAATTAAAACAGCAGACTAAACCAGGTATGGTGGCATATGCCTGTAATCCCAGGAACTCGGGCAGTTGAGGCAGGAGGAACACAAGTTCAAACTCAGTCTCAGCAACTTAGCAAGGGCCTAAGCAACTTTGTTATTAATATTTTTTTAGAGACTCCGTCTCTAAAAACATATATATTAGAAAAAATTTTTAAAGGACTGATATGTGGGTAGGTGGTTAAGTGCCCCTGAGTTCAATCCCTGGTACCAAACCAAAGGGAAAAAAAAAAAAAGACTATTTCTGCCATATCACCTAGCATAGTCCATAAAAGTAAGCAAGGCACAAGCACTGCCACATAAAGGACAATATTTACAGATGTCTAGATGGAACATTATGCTCACATAATCCAAGATAGGTATTCTTATCAACCTTGATAAGCAGTTATTTTAGAATTATAGAAAAGGAAACAAATACTACCCTGTATTGCCATCATTTGTGTTTTATTAATCCAGCCTGTAGAAGCAGTATTCCGTAACTTGAATATACTTTACCTGCATGAATTAACATCCGTAAACATTCTACAGAGTTGTGATACGCTGCTTCATGAATTGGCATCCAGCCCCTGTTATCAGCAACATCAATGCTACGACCCTTTTTGAGCAGTTTCCTTAAGATTTTAACATTGCCTTCCCTGGCAGCAAGTCCAACTGTAGAGCATGTGTCCGAGTAAGCTTCTGTAAAATCCATTCTTTTGACCAATCTACAAAACAAGGTAGAAATACTACGGTCAATAAAACAACACTGCACTCTTAGAGATTAGCAGATCACAGGAGACCTGTCTAGTACCTTTCACATGACCACAGAGAAATCTACTGTCATGCTAAAGCCTAAATTAGGAGTCTCTCAAATCAGTACTCCTTGAACTGTTAGTATTTAAAATACCAAGAAACTTTTAAGTGTTCTTTTCTTCTTCCTCCAGAAGTATCTGTAGCTTTTTCCAGCAGGCTTCTGCTCCTATTCATATCCCACCAAAACGTACTCTTTGGAGCACTGCTGTTGAGAGAGCTAAATAACTCTACTTATCAAAATGTAAGCTCTATTAGGCAGATAGGACCACTTAATTACCAGCTATGCCCAACTTCTATACATATTCCTCTATAGGAAACAGCTAAACCTAAAACAGCTTAAAAAATAAAAGTGAAGGGCATTTATTGAGAAAAACAAAGAAAAGCAGTCCTTTTAGTTTTCCTGCCCTTCTGGTCCTACTCAGGTTTCTCAGTCTCTATGAAATAGTTCCACTAACTAAATACACTGAAAAAACAAAGAACAGCCACAAAAAAACTGAGCTTTCTTTCATAAACTAGCACAGAAAGTTCTTTAAAACATTATTGCCCTCATCATCATCTCCCTTCAAAGGTCACTTCAAGTTCCCCTGCATCCAGAGTTCAGCACAGCTCAGTTTATGACTTTCTCACAACAATAATTTTTTAGTGACACTAGGAAGCAGATTGGGCTTAAATTCAGGATTCTCAGAGAAACAGTTATTTCCTAAGGGGTAGTCCTTCTAAAAAAAATCCCATAACATTTTTTCTTTTTTTTTATGTGAAAAAAAAAAAAAAAGCTTTAAAGGTACTGAACTATGGCTTTGCACAGGCTAAGCTAAGCAAGCACTCTACCACTGAGTTACATCCCCAACCCTTTTTATTTTATTTTGAGACAGGGTCTAAGTTGCCAGGCTAGCCTCGAGCCTGTGATCCTCCTATCTTAGCCTCCCATGTTGAGGGATTATAGGCCTATGCCACCATATCACTTTATAGTCTCTAATAATCTTAGGTCAAGAAATGCCAACATGTCTAGCCCAACACAGGTGAAAATTTTCAAGAACCATGTTCTACATAATTTATACAGGAAAAAAAAAGATTTTAGGAAAGAGGTTAAAAGAAAGTGCATAACATTTCCTATAGCTAATTTAACTAACCCATGGTCACCTTAAATACAAAGCTGTAACTGCAGAAGTTGATTCTGTAGCAGGCYAAACAGCTAATATTAGCAATGGATTATTCTAATTGTATTAACTGATCTATTACTGGAATAAGTGAAGACATTTATTACTGAACATCTAATTATACAACTACCAGTTATATATCAAGCACCAACTAGATGATCAGCCCTGAGAAGTATATAAAGATGACAGTGACATAATTTCTATCTCAAGTTGTTTACAACCTAGTAGAAATGATAAATATATATGATTCAAGATAGAATGTGGAGCAGGGCACAGTGGCACACACCTGTAATTCCAGCAGCTCGGGAGGCTAAGGCAGGAGGATCTTAAATTCAAAGCCATTCTCAGCAATTTTGCAAGACCCTAAGCAACTTAGTGAGACCCTGTCTCAAAATAAATAAATAAATAAATAAATAGGACTTAGAATGTGGTTCAGTGGTTAAGCTCCCATAGGATCAATCCTTGGTACCAAAATAAGTGGAAAGGACAGCCAGGCATGGTGGCAAATGTGTACCTTTAATCCCAATGACTCAGGAACTGAGGTAGAAGGATCAAAAGTTTGAGATCAACCTGAGCAACTTAGTGAGGCCATAAGTAATTGTCTTAAATTTTTAAATAAATTTTTAAAAAGAATTGTTTTTAAAAAAGAAAGAATAAAAATGGAAAGTATCATAAGAGAAATACAGATAAAGAACCACAGAAATCAAAACAGAATCTGCTTCAGCTCAGTAGCAACAGGAGTTGTGCCTTAAAGGATATGAAGGATTTGAAAATGAAGACAATGGACAAAAGAATACTCCTAGGCAGAAGGAAAGGTAAAACCAAAAAATGTGGACATGAATAAGCAAGGGTAAGTAATGGACAATGAATAAGGAAATGATTCATTCACTTTGGAAGGATTAGGTTAAAAAAGAACAATAGGAAAATGAGATTACTAAAGTAGCTTAAATCCCATTAAGCCTCAAGTTCTCAATTCTATGAATGTTTCAACAAAATTAACACAGGTGCATAAAAATAAGTGGGAAATCATAATCTAGATATATATATATATGAATAAATAAAATAATAATTTTCATTGTTATCATAATTATATTGTTATATCATTATATATTATTATATTATATATTATATTATATATTATGTAATTATATATATCTTAAGTGGTTTATTGTTTTGTTTTCTCTTTGGTACCAGGGATTGAACCCAGGGGTGCTTAACCACTGAGTCACATCCCGGCCCTTTTTTAAATTTTCTATATTAATTTTTTTTAATATTTATTTTTAGTTTTAGGTGGACACAATATCTTTATTTTATGTGGTGTTGAGGATTGAACCCACACCTCACACGTGCTAGGTGAGCACTCTACCACATGAGCCACAACCCAGCCCTATCTTAAGTTTTTATAGGTGTTCCACATCTGGAACCATGGGACAAAATGCGTTATTAAAGCTAACTGTGGAGGATCTTGAGACAAGGTATATTTTTAAACTATGATAATAACATCTAGCCAAGACAATTACAATAAATTTTTTACAAAAAAAAAAGAACAAATTACACACTTATGGCGATTTGTAAGAATGTTCATTTAATACAAGAAAACTTTTTTATGTAGAAAACACACATACATAAAGACACACACAAACAACAATTTAAAAAACACTAAAAACAGATTTGGAGTCAAGTGTGGTGGCACACATCTGTAATCTCAGTGGATCAGCTTGGGAGGCTGAGAGGGGGATTTCAAGTTGAAGGCCAACCTGGAAAATTTAGGAGACCATATTTCAAAATAAAAAGGGCCAGGCATTCTCAGTAGTTCAATCCCCAGTATCACAAAAAAACAAACAAACAAAAAATTCCAACATTTCAGTAAAAATAAGTATGGTGCCCTTTCCAAATTTTACTGGCTTTTCTTTCAGTTATAAAATAATTGTTTTTGTTTTTGTTTTGTTTGTTTGTTTGTTTGTTTGTTTTCAAAAAGGGAGAGAGAGAATTTTTTAGTATTTTTTTTTTTAGTTTTCGGCGGATACAACATCTTTGTTTGTATGTGGTGCTGAGGCTCGAACCCGGGCCGCACACATGCCAGGCAAGCGCGCTACGCTTGAGCCACATCCCCAGCCCGAATAATTTTGTAAAATATATTTTTCAGATTAAAAAAATAGATGATAATCTTTTTAAAATATATAAAAATTTGATAATTCTTTCAGGTTTGTTTTTTGTTTGTTTGATTGTACCAGAGATTGAACCTAGGGATGCTTAACCACTGAGCCACATCCCCAGCCATTTTTTTATTTTTTATTTTGAGACAGGGTTTCACTAAGTTGCTTAGGGCCTCACTAAATTGCTGAGGCTGGCTTTGAACTTGTGATCCTCCTGCCTCAGCCTCCAGGAATTACAGATGTGAGCCCATACACATGGCATTTTTTTAGCTACTAAAAGAAAGAAGAAGCCAAAAGAAATGTGCTATAACAGCAGGATCATTCCTTTCGACTCCTATACTAACTAGCTAAATGTTAGTAAACTATTTACAAGATATTTCCTCCTTTTTCAAAACCTCCTTATTCAGGGTAACAGTACAGAGTCAAGCAAATGCAATATATAAACCTCAACTRAGGTTGGGAGTGTAGCTAGGTGGTGAAAGGTCCTGGGTCAGATACTCAGCACTGTTCAAAAAATAAAAATAAAAACCTCAACTGGATTCAGAATTTCTGGAGGGAAAAAAAAAAAAAGAACCCCTTCCCCCCAAAATATTTTTGAGATAATTAAGGAAAGTTAGATATTATACTGGTATTTGATGCCATTAATTATAAATTTTCTTAGGTGTGATAATGGCATTATGGGAATCAGGAAAATGAGTCTTTACTCTTAAAAAATGCATTTAGAAGTAGTTAGCAATAAAATGTAAAAACTTACTTCAAATGTTTTAAATTTTTGAAAAGTATATAAGCAGGGTGTGGTGGTGCACACCTATAATCCCAGGAACTTGGGAGGCTAAGGTAGAAGGATCATGAATTCAATATCAGACTGTTTAACTTAAGAGAAAGCCTGTCTCAAAATAAAAAAAATAAAAGAATTGAGGACACAGCTCAGAGGTAGAAGGCCCCAAGTACAAGCCCCAGTACCACAAATAAATAAATAAGAATAAACAAAAAAAAAAATAGAAAACTTGTCAACTGTTAATTATTGAAACTACATGGAGAGGGCTGGGGATGTGGCTCAAGCGGTAGCGCGCTCGCCTCTCTCACTCTCTCTAAAAAAAAAAGAAAAGAAACTACATGGAGAGTATTTGGATAGTCACTGCCTTTGTTTTTCTCTCTCTCTCTTTTTTTTTTTTTTTTTTTGTATATTTGTATTTTTTCAAAAAAAAAAAGAGGAGAGTATGGGGAAAAGAAAAATTCCAGGCAATATGAAACCACGACTTGGAGAAATACGAAGAAAACTTCTTACTCTTTTTCTTCTGACTGACTTCTTAAGAACACAAATAATAGTTTCTGAACCTGGGTGTTTCAGCATTCTTCTCTAATTAAACACTAAAAACTAAAGACAATGAAATAATTAGAAATCCTCAAGAAGAAAGCAATCATTTGGTAAGGTTTCTATGATAGTTCAAAGTGTTCTTCCTAAAAAAATATTTTGGAAGCATAACTCTAACCACCAGATTTAACATTTTTTAGTATCCTTAACCCCTTCAAGAAACTCATAAAAGCTATAAAATTTCTCCCCAGAAAAGAGCATAAATAGCCCACATTTTGCTACAGGAAAGACTAAAAAGATAAAGGTTATCTTTCGTGTAAAATTTAAATATGTAAACAACTTGCATGGAAAAAAATCATTGCTTTTTCACAGGTGTAAAGCATCTGTAAATTTTTTGCTTTCATTTAAAAGGCAAAAGGGCAGACTTTTTTACAGATTTATAAAGTCAAATATGGATTACATTTCTGGCTTTAGCGACTCTGGCTGCTGTTATATGGGCAGAATCAATTTTCAAAGCACGAAAGCATGCCTTTCTATGTGTTGACTCTGGGCAGGTACACGTCCTCCTATCTGGACAAGCTCGACAAGCTTTGACCACGCCTGCCCTTTCTCTTCTTCCCTCCCGGACTCGAAAAACACACAGTTCCAACTTCAGAGCCATGGATCTCCGAAAGGAATTGTGGGTATTGTAGTCCTCTGCACAGGCGCACTAGAGGAAGAATATGGAGATTTACAAAGGCTGCGGAAGAATCCATTGTTTAATATACAGAAGACCAATGATTCCTGATCCCTAGAGTCAGGGAAAAAAATAATGCCACCTAAAACGGAATCAGGAAACGTTCCACGGACTACAAACCCAGTATGCTTTGCACCCTAAGCTGCAACGCAGCCACTGCGCCTGCGCCCCGTGTAGCCGGTTACTTGCCTCTAGAAGGCTGCAGTCCCAGGCGGCGGCCAAGACCGCAGCTGAGGGTCGGCGGCCGCGGCCGCTGCCGCTCCCGCTGCCGCTCCCGCTGCCGGCCCTACCACCACCAGGAGCCACCGCAAGATGTGGGTTTTTGGTTATGGGTCCCTGATCTGGAAGGTGGACTTCCCCTATCAGGATAAGCTGGTCGGATACATCACAAACTACAGCAGGCGCTTCTGGCAGGGCAGCACTGACCACCGCGGGGTCCCCGGCAAGGTGAGAAGCCAGTCAGTTCCCACAAAGCCCCCAGACCACCGCTCCCCAACTCCAGGCAGGTCTGTATGGGACCCACATCCAAAAGCTTTCCGAGGGCCGAACTCGTGGGTCAGGGGTAAAACTGCTGTATCTATGCATCTTCCTTGGCCACCTGCCCCCTTCTTCTCTTCCAAACCAGAACACTCCTTTGAAGCCGGTTTGTTTCTTGAAACAAAAAGCATGAGCACAAGCACATAAGCTTTCACTAGCCTGATATGCCGGGCAAGAGGGTTCCATTTCTTGGCAGCCTCTGCCAAAAAAACAAAAGCAGTGGCAAGAAAATGAAATTTCATGTCACCATGGAGATGAAATAGTAAAATCAACTTGCAAATTCAGCTTTTTCGCAATAAGTTTGTTGACATGTCTGCATTTTGCCAGACTTTCACTGGTTTGAGTTTAAACGTGCGTGTAATTTCTAAGTTTTTTTTTTAATATCTTTGCAACTCTTTTTTGTAACACCTAACATTACAGAACTGGTTTCCACAACTGTATCAAGTTATTGATCATTTTAGATGTCAGGTACCCCGAAGTTAAATGAAGTCCCCTGTTTGTTATATTAGTAGCAGGGCTAAAGCAGCATTATTTAAGTTTATTTCATGATAGTTCCCATAAATAATAAATATAAAATAAAATTTCTTTGATTTTTTTTCAGTCAGTCATAAAAAGACATTCGACTCAATGTGTTCAGAGAATTAGAAACAGCTTATTTACACAGCATATGGGCTACAAAACTAATCCATGAAGAAAACTAAATCTGTGATAACTGTAACTCCAATAATTTGGACACTTACTTAGTTAGCTTCCTAACTTTTGAAGGAGTATATTTTTGTTTGCTGATGCTACTGTGATTTTGGCAGTGCTGGGAATTGAAACTTGACTACTGTTTTAAAAAAATTAATATTGACCTAAAAACATGATATCTAACACTGGAAATCTGACAGAGGAAGTGTTTAAGGTTAATTCYAAAGAAACACTGCAGTGTGGAAAGGGGAAGAAATCAGGATTCTAAAGTAGCTTGTATGACACAGAATTAAAATCAAATAGGGGGGATAGGAAGGGCAGCAGAATAAAATAGACACTAGTATTGCAAAAAATAAAATAAGAATTTGGCTCTAAGGTAGACTATACTAGCCTACTGGAACAAGGACAGAAAAATTTGAAGAAGGACAGTGGCTTAGTGCATTTATAGGCCAAGAGAAACATGACCTAAGTATTTTTAAGAATGTTATACAACAGTATTCAAGACATTAAAAAAAAATCTAAGCTAAATAAATTGTCCTTTGAGTTTCCAGTTTTTATATGAGCACTTAAAATTGCCATTCTGAAAAGAAAGCCTTAGCCAGGGCTTTCATTTTAAGAATAAATTTTAAATATGTATCTATGTGGCGGGAGGCTAAGAAAGGAGAATYCCAAGTTCTAAGTCAGCCTCAACAAAAAGCTAGATGCTAAGCAACTCAGTGAGACCCTGTCTTAACATACAAAATAGGGCTGGCGATATAGCTCTGGTCTAGTGTCCCTGAGTTCAGTCCCCAGTAACCACCCCCCACAAAAAAAAATGTATCTATGTGGGTTTTTTTGTTTTGTTTTGTTTTTAGTTGTTGATGGACCTTTATTTAATTGATTCATTTATTAACCTGGTGCTTCACACATGCTAGGAAAGCGCTCTACCACTAAGCTACAACCCCAGTTCTGTATGTGGTTTTAATAGCATATTTTACTACTCTGGTCTCAACCAAAATATGTTTGTTACATAGTACACAGAGATATGTATACTGTCCAGCCCTGCAATCCCAGTAGCTAGAGATGTGGCTCAGTGGTCAAGTGCCCCAAGTTCAATCCCTAGTTACCTACTCCCCCGCTCCCAATAAAAAAACTGTCTAGTAATGTTTTGGGTTTTGGGGGGGGGGGTTTGGTACTAGGGACTGAACCCAGGGGTGCTTTACCACTGAGCTGCATCCCCAACCCTTTTATTTATTTACTTACTTACTTACTTAGAGGCAGGGTCTTGCTAAATTGCCTAGAGCCTCCCTGAATTGCTGGGGCTGGACTTCAACTTGTAGTTCTCCTGACTCAGCCTCCTAAATCCTTTGGATTACCAGAGTGCCCCAATGCACCTGAAGTAACTATATAAGCCAGWATCTCTTTGTATTTAAATTTACTGAAATAAGCCAAACACACCTATTTGGGAGGCTGCAGGAGGCCAGCCTGGGCGATTTGGTGAGACCCTGTCTCAAAATAAAAATAAAAGGAATGAGGATGTAGCTTAGTATTAAAAGTGTTCCTGGATTCAATTCCCAGTACTTAGAAAATACTAATAATAAGTACTGAAATATAGAAAGTTAGAGGGGAAAACTGCATTGGCTAACAGTTTTACCTCTTTTAAAGAATTCATCCTTGCTAATTATAGTATTTTCCTGGTGTTCTGTTGAAAAACTAGATAGGACTGGGCTTGGTAGTGCACACCTATAATCCCCAAGACTTGGGAGGCTGACACAAGAGGAACACAAGTTCAAGGCCAGCCTCAGCAATTTAACAAGGCCCTCAGCAATTTAGAGAGATCCTGTTTCAAAAAATTAAAAGGTATGGGGATGTAGCTCAGTGGTAAGGTGCGCCTGAGTTCAAACCCCAGGACAGCCCCCCAAAAAAACATAATTTGCTTCACATTTTTTATTAAAATGTATTTCTGGCCTTATATAATGTTAATTGTTTGACAGTTATACAAATGGCTAGAGAAATATCCAGCAAATTAGAATGATTTAGATACTATTTAGGACATAAACTTTCTTTTTTTTTTTTTTACAACAACCTACCCTAGTAAGTTAGTCCTCAAAAAAGGCATCATTAATTTATACATATACATAGTACAAGGTGACATCTTTTGGAAAAATACTGAACATACTTGCTTTGTTAAATTTTACTTTTTAGCTTCATTAAACATTAATTTATTTTTAAGTTTAATTAATAATTTCATTTATATATAATAAAACTGGCAGTTTCTCACCAAAGGATTTTCTTTAAATGGGAAATACTTTTCCCTACAAATAGAATGTATCACAAACTCAAAAAAAAAAAAAAAAAAAAAAAAATTTTAATGGGTGAGACAAACTTGTGCACATTCAACTAAATCCCCAACTTTTCTTTTGGATCAGAAACACCACTCATTACCCTAAGAAAACACCCTTGATATGTCTCATGATGACCCTCATTTCACATCCTCCATGCCCTTTCTTCAGTTTCATTGCCCGCCCTCCAAAAAAAACACTTAAGTAAATTTACAAACTTATATTGTTTCTCAATAACATTTATCTTAGCAACAAAGAGCTCAAGGTTTAGAAGATTTTTAAGTAAATTTATCAGTAGTGCCAGTAGTCCATGTCTGTATCATTCACTAATAGTCACAAGATTACAAATATTTACCCTTAAAATGACTTCTTTTTTTTAACAATTTTTTATATTTATTTTTTAGTTGTAGTTGGACACAATACTTTCATTTTATTTATTTATATGTGGTGCTGAGGATCAAACCCAGGGCCTCACATGTGCTAGGCGAGCACTCTACCGCTGAGCCACAACCCCAGCCCCTTAAAATGACTTCTTATAGTTTTTTGTTCCACCTACCACCATCCAAATCAAAACTTCAGCTACCCAGCTACCCTATGTCTTCCTTTCAACAATTACAACTGAGTATCTACATAAGTAGGAGACACTTGTGCAAACAAAAATACTTGGAAAAGAAATGAATAAAAGAAGCATTTAGAGTATTCTGAGAAGGAGCTTCTAAATTTGCCTAGGAACTGAGCCAAAACTTTATGGAGGGAGTGGCCAGATACACCATGTAAACAGAAGGGAGAGGGCATTCCATACACACTAGACAAATACATTTACAGAGTTTTAAATAATTCAGTACATCTTGAGGAGGCAAGTGGGAAGAAATGAGGTTTGTGGTTAAATCATGCTAAGGAACTTTAATTATATCCTGTAGACTTAACAGCCCTGAAAAATTCAAAGCCAGAAAGTCATTTGTGGCCCAAGTAAAGAACAGACTGGAGGGAAACAAAAGTTACATACTAGCCACCTCCTACTCAAATGCCTTAGTAGCTCCTTATTTCCTGTTTCTCCCAAATATTAGTGGCTTATTTCCATTGTCCCTGATTTAAACTCTACTTAAAAAAAAAAAAAAAAAAAAATAGGACCTCATAAACATTGGGCAAGCACCCTACCCCTGAGTTATATCCCTAGCCCTCAACTTCGCTCTTTGACTTTTCAAATCTGCCTCTAACTTCTCTAGTCAACTTTCTGAATCATCTCCTATGTATGAGGGACCCTCTGCTAAAGTCAAACCCCTGGCCTGTTCTACTCTAGCCTCTAAGCCCTTATTCATAAATCATGATTCATTATGTTTTTTGGCAAGAATTTTATCTTTCTAGCCACCTACGAGTCAGTATTCTTACTGTATATTTAATAGATATAGATACATATTATCTTCGCCCTCAAGTATTCTCTACTTATTTGGCATGTTGATTTGTATTCCAGAGGTATATTTCTTGGAAATAAGAATCAAAAATTTCACTGTAAATTTGAAAATAATTAGAAGTAATGTGACAGTACTTAATGAGTCACACCAATATATGCATCCTCATTGTTGTATTATTGTAAATTTAAAACAAGTAAATTTAAACTTCCAAGAACACAATAATTTTTAATTTATAGTTCATCTATTGCAAAATATTATACAGCTATTAAAATGTACAAGACTTACAGGAAAATACAAATAAATGAGAAATCATAATTCAAAATCCCATGTGTCCTTTGATTACAAATTCTTTATACAAATGGATAAAGACAAGAAGCAAACAGAACAAAGATGACACAAATATCTGAATGATTTAGGCTGTGTGCCAGTCATTAGGCATACATGTAGGGAAACTTGTGGCTTGCAACTCAGCCTTCTTGCTAATGTTAACATGTCAGTAGAWAACCTTTGGCACTAGGTAAGAATTTCATAAAGAAAAACCAACATACCTGTATATATATATATATATATGGAGAAATACTAGTCAAAAATAAATAAATAAAGGAGTGAAAGGAAGATCAATAAAAGAGAGGAGGGAGAGAAGGAAAAGAGGGGAATAAGGATTGAAATCAAATTCCTTACGTGTATTATTTTGTCAGTGAACCCAAATACTATGTAAATTATAATGCTCTCAAGAAATTTTAAAGGAAAAGCTTACTTTGGTTTAAATCACCTTTGTGACTTAAATGATGGAATATTCCAAGTCGGGATTTTCTCTAAGGCTTTCAATTTATAAATAAAGATTACTTTTTCAGCCACTGAAATGGAACAACAAATAAAATTTGTTTTGACTTGATAATATATAATTTCAATTTCAAGTGGAATGATACAAAGCCAGCTTTTTTTTTTTTCCCTCAGAGTAACTAATTTTATTACTCCAGCTTACGTCAGCTCATTCTGGTACAGTAATTTTCTTAGGTTTTCACAGCCTTTTAGAAATATCCATCTCCCGAGCTCACTAAAGTTTCACAGGAAAACATTAGTCATTCTGAGGAAGATAAGAAGTGGATAATAGAAAACTTTACACCTGGTAGATGAGATAAAAACTAAGAGAAAATGCAGCAACAATAACCCTGATGTGTCGTGTGTGTGTGTGTGTGTGTGTGTGTGTGTGTGTGTGTGTGTGTGTATCTCTGTCTGTCTGTCTTGCTCACTGTCTCAACAAACCTTATTTATGAAGCTTCTCCTGAATACCCACTTTATGAGCTGTCTCTAAACAGGGAGCATGGTAGCGCAGGGAGCTTACTTTAAAACAAAAATCTTTCTGAAATACCATCATTTCTTAATTTCATAGCTCCTCGGGTTGCTTCTTGTAGTCTACTAGCTGTTTATCCCTTTCAATAGCTATGGCTTTTTGTTGTTCTTCTTCTTCTTCTTTTTAGATAAGCATGACAGTATATTTAGACATACATGGAGTATAACTTGACCTGAGTTAAAACCAACATGGAAAAATAAAATTGCCTAGAAYATAGGTGGTCTAACTGTCCCATATAAGAGCAACTGTATGGATAGATCAGTTCTTTTTTTGTTAATTTATTTATTTTTATGTGGTACTGAGARTCAAACTTAATGCCTCATCACGTGCTAGGTAAGTTCTCTATCACTGAGCTACAATGGAAGCCTTGGGCAGACCAGTTCTAATATTAACTTCTCACTAGGGCAATGTAAAATTCATTTAGAAATATAAAACAGATGCCTACCTTGAAGCACCTACTGCCGTAAATAGAAAGGTAAAGGCAATTCTTAACTCACAGGTGCAAATTACTCATTTACTTGCACTTGATACCTCATGGTATATATACCCTGTTAGCAGTAGTTCAAAGTATATACCCAAAACCATTTCACTGGAATCACATGGGAAGTGGATTACAAATGAACATTCTCCAGGCTTCAGACCTAGGTGTGGCCTATCAATAATACGTGTCTATCAAATCCTTCAGTGATCTGATCAAAGTCTGAAAAATACTTCCATATAGGCAAACGCCCTGAATTATCTATATTTTTCTTTACTAAAACTATTAAAAATCTTGTTTTTCTCAAGGGGAAAACCAGAATTTTTATTTATAATTGCTGCTTCTATTTGCCTTTCATTCTAGATAGGCCTTAATCATTGCTGTTCTTTAATTTTAAATGAATTTAACTAATACATGTAAATTGATGGAAATATTTTAGAAAGCTGTTCTACTTTAGAATAAAGGTAGACTCTCTTACTTAGCTCACTTTAAACTTTATCTTTTTTTTTTTTAAATAAATCTTTTTTTTTTATTATTTTTTTTTTATTTTTTAGTTCTTGGCGGACACAACATCTTTGTTGGTATGTGGTGCTGAGGATCGAACCCGGGCCGCACGCATGCCAGGCGAGCGCGCTACCGCTTGAGCCACATCCCCAGCCCCTAAACTTTATCTTTAAAAAATGAATGTGTTTTGCAAAGTGTGGGGGCAAATACCTATAATCCCAGAGGCTTAGGAGGCTGAGGCTAGAGGATCAAAGCCAGTCTCAGCAAAATAGTGAAGACCCAGTTACTATATAAAAAATTTCAAAAGGAGTCTGGAAATGTGGCTCAGTGGTTAAGCACACCGGATTCAATCCCTAGTACAAAAAACACCCACATTTTTAAAAAGTGCTTCTTAGAGTAAATATAGTTAAAATATTCCATGTCAACATTAAGTCACTAATGTTTGGTTATTTCATTCAGAAATTTTTTTTTTTAACCTTTCTCAAAACAGCCTGGAAGAGTTGTGACTCTCGTTGAAGATCCTGGGGTATGATATAATTATTTCTTTTTATATAGACTTTAATTGTAAAAATGTTGAGATGTTTTTTAGTTCTAATAATTAAATTTTATGAATAGTTTTCAGACTATTGAAACTATACTAAGTCTAGAACTCCTCTGTATTTGTTGTGAGTTATTTGGCTTTGTTTTTCATGTTTGTAGAAAATTAGGCAGTAGGAAAAGTTAGAATGCAGAATGCAAAGTAACAACAAAGCCCAACCACATGACATGTAACATTTTTCATTCTGGCAAGTTTTTTTTTTTAAGAGTTTGAGAATTTTGTGGTCCCCTTTGACATTAATAGATAGCCCACAGATAGCCACACTACCACTAAGAATCAAATATAACTGTGAAGTCTCTCTTCCATTTGCTAGAAGTCTAATATTTTCAGCAGAGAACTAAGTAAAGAATTCTCACTTTCTGTGTTGCCTAATTTTATCAGTAAGACTTGTGTTTTTAACAGGTTTGAAGTGTCAGAACTCTTAAATTATAGTTCTCAGTTTCTTAAATATTTTTAATCATTTTATTTGCATACAGATCTAAAATTTTGTATTGTGGAATTAAAGATTAAATTTTGCAAAGGACTTTGATATACAAAAATAAAGCAGCGACCAATAACAGATCAATAATGGTATAGACTAGGAAATGCTTTCCTAATTTACACTAGGGAAAATCATCTATAAAAACAGCTTTAAGCTGGTAACTATAACTTCTAATCAAACAGTATTTAAAAAACAAATGTTTTTATAGAATTTCTTAATGACCCAATGAAAACATGAAATTTTCATTTCAGTCCCATTAGTTGATCAAAAAAAATCTGATTTAAAGTTTTTAGTGATAAATATGTTGTGTCTATGATACAAAGAAATTATTTATTCAGATTTTTAAATGCTGATTTCCTTTATTGTTTAGTATAACCTCTTCAATGAACTCTAAGTAAGACAAAACAACTACATTTTCTTCTGCCTACTATACAAGATATTTTCTTAGATATAACACATTTTTACCTATTTTGATTAGGCTTGTAAATGCTAACTAGTGTGTTCTTTTATTTTCCAACAGGGTTGTGTTTGGGGTGTTGCTTACAAACTGCCAGTAGGAAAAGAAGAAGAAGTAAAAGCATACCTTGACTTCAGAGAGAAAGGAGGCTACAGAAACATAACAGTCATTTTTTATCCAAAAGATCCCACAACAAAACCATTCAGTGTGCTGTTATACATTGGAACATGTGATAATCCTAATTATCTTGGTCCTGCCCCTCTGGAAGACATTGCTGAACAAATTTTTAATGCAGCTGGTCCAAGTGGAAGAAATACAGAGTATCTTTTTGAGCTTGCCAATTCTGTTAGAAGCCTTGTACCAGAAGATGCAGATGAGCATCTTTTCTCCTTGGAAAAATTAGTAAAGGAACGTTTAGAAGAAAAACAGAACCTCAGTTGCATATAAAGACCTAATCATTAACTTATTTAAATAATAGATCATTTAGTCTTCAAAGAGTAACTTCAGCACACAATGACAATATTTTGGAAATTTGTTTAGTTGAAGATCTTCTTGTTTTTAATGTTATAGCCATGATATCATCTGAATGTATAATTTAAGTGCAAGTGTCCTGAAACACATATATTCAGAAGACTGACATACAGAGAAAGAAAAAATTCAAGTTTTAATAATATAATGATTTCCTAATTATATGATATTGAACACTTGCTCATCACAAGTGAATTCTTTAGAAACATACAAAGTACTCCCTTCGGCAGCACATATACTAAAACTGGAACAATACAGAGAAGATTTGCATGGCCCCTGCACAAGAATAATGGGCAAATTTGTGAAGCATTCCATATTTTTAAAGAAGCAAAATATAGAAATATAGAAAGACTTGGTTCAGTTCTTGTTTGTATCAGAGTAAAATAATCTTGTTTCATTTCACAATACTATTTTGAGGTTATAGAGAATTAAGCCAAAAGTCCAATAAATATTATAAATATTACTATACCTTCAATATGTTCCTATAAAATAATTCTATAACAATGGTTAGAATATGTAAGCTTAAAATGATGTGCAATTTTAAATGTATGTTAATACAGACAACATTTTATTTTGGCCTTGARTGTGAATTTCCTTGTTATTCAAGTATAAAATGAGACTTTCAAATTTAGGCCAAAAGAAATTGGCATTTTTTTTTATTATAAAAATATCCTTGGAATTTTAGTCTGCTRTATCTCTCCTTTCTTGAATAAATGCATTACATTACATAGAAAATAATTCATTTAGCTAGCTAAACAGTACAAAATAATAGTACAAATCACATCCACTAATAATAATGTCATTTATTTTGTACTTATTCTGAAATGGAAAAAAAGGGATAGGCTAATAATTATAGATTAACAGAAACATATACACACATATATATAATGAAATTTGCATGTTTGAAATAGCCTTTGGAATTATAATTGTTTAAAAAATTAAATGGTATTACCTGATTATCTGCTACACAACTTTATTTTCTTTCCTGAATCTTGTCACCTAAATAGGAGTATCAACTGTGTTTGTGCTATTACTCACATAGGAAAAAAAAATACTTAAAATTATGAACTCATATAAAATTATCCCTAATTTAGGAGCTAATTGTAAGATTTTCTAAGAGATTTCTTTCTCAATACAATACAGTCTATAGAATCTTTCAACATGAAATGAATTTCAGTATCATGTTAAATCTAATAGAAAACTTTATAAAACTCCTCAAATCTACACATGACTAATAATTAGTACAGAAGTTTTTCACACAAATTACTGTTGTCCTATATAATACAAACAATTGTCCTTCCCCATTTTTCTATTTATTAGTCTCTTAGTAACCATTTTAAATATTTTCTAATATTTTAAATTTTTAATTTTCCTAAAGTCATTTCACATGTCTAGTGCTACAGAAAAGAAATGAGCATTTATTAATATCTAGGATACATACACTGCACTAGGCACTTTACTTATGGAGGCAATATGTCCCATTTTTTTGTATAACTCCTCTGAGCTAGCTTTTACAGTAACCTGCACTTAGTTACACATCTAGTAAATGGCTGAAATCCAGATCTGTCTTTTAAAAACCACATGAACTTAAAAACCACATTTTCACATCCTGCATCTTTTCTCCAAGAGGTAAAAAACTTTCACATTTTTGTATAATGAAACAGTATATAACTTATTATTACACAAAAAAAGTTAATTTCAACAGATGTTTCTATCCCCACACATATAATAAGCCTATCCAAGATTCACAGGCTACAGCTCAGAATCATATAGGTCAATACAGAGGATCAGCTTTTCATTTTACAAACAAATCAAGGCCCAAAGGAGTTTGGGACTTACCAAAGTGATTCTTCTACCATTTAACATGTACAAATAAGTTACAAAAAAAAACAGGTTATTTGAGGGAATCTCCAATTGCATGTTTTTCTAGGCTTTCAGTTAGAAGTTAGACTAGAAAGTATATGAACATATTCTTGGTATAACATCAACATTTAGAGTAAGGCTGTGTTCCAAAGAGCCAGGAGTTTTCATTAGGATGGGCAGAAACCTGAATAAAATGAAGAAGTTAAACAGTACTATATTAGAGAGAAGCTGGGGTCTGGAGTCTTCAAGTTAGGAAGAACTATTAACTCTGGTACAAAATTATCTAGTGGTGAAGGCGATCCCCCACTCACTGTCTTGACAGGGTCACAGTGAGAAAAAGTGTTGGCAAAGCCGCTCTCCCACTGTCTTGACAGGGTCACAGTGAGGATGAATGCTGGCAAAGCCACGCTGGTTGGTGGGTAACCGAAACCATGAGACCCTTTTTTTA